TATAAGTGTTTATTTAACGACCATCAATCCTGGTATAGGAACAGAACTTTGCTTAATAAATTCTTTTAAAGGAATTTGTTTCTATGGTAGCATAGGCTTGGATCATTTAAAACAATGAAGGTTGCATATAAGCAAAAACTTATACACAACACAATACATAATTTCTACTTTCTAATATTCCCGTCTCTCTTAAGGTTTCAGCGGTGACCACGACACTGAGAGAAGCACTCGTAAAAGAAATACGTTGATTGCACAAAACGCAGTTTCTTCACAGCAATCGCTCATCCTGAATTGTCGGTGGCGGCTGTCGACTCGCACGCTAGTGTATTGCGATTCATTACCACAGTAACGCCAATAAGCGATAGTCATAACACACGACTGTCGCAAGTAAATTACCCGAACCATTCATAATATACGCCACAGAGCAAAACAATAGAGCTATAACTACGACGATATCCGACGAAACGAGAAAGTTGCAATCGTATCGGCTACAAATAAATCAGATACAACCCGGAGCGTTACCTTCAACACTAGTAATACAACGGAAATTTACAGACGAATATTTATGACCGAGAAACCTGAATATGAATTAATTTTGAGTTACGTAAAGATGATGTGGTTTATAGATCTAGCGGTGTCCTGTGAACTTTCATCTACATTACTCTGAACGCATTTGAAGATACCAAATGTTAATGGAATACCTAAGAATATGACTCCATAAAAAACATTATCGTAATTATGTGATTTAATGTGAAATAAAAATATAGTCCATATACTAATCTGAAGTTATATTTGTTCTATTTCCCATAAAACTTTGGTGATCGCCTCTCAATAATTCTTTTAAGAAAATAGAAAGACCACATGAAAAGAAATGTAATTTCACGGTACACTTTCCTTATATGCAAACCATATTATTTTTCTATCATATGGATATCCTAAGTTTTAGAGTAACGCGGACCGTCCGCGCTGACGACTACGCGCGTAGCTATTAGCGCAAGCTATCCGCGCATACTCGTTTCAGTATCGTGCTAGTTGTTACAAAGTACAAACATGGTCAATCCTGTGGGTGTTTAAATTGTTGCAGTGAATTATTTATGCAAAAAGAAAGAAGTGACAACGATGAAGCAGAACAGCATGTTTAGTCACTTTTGCTGAAAAATTGACATTGTTCAACCAACAAAAAATTTTGACGCGTTAATTAAAGGCAAAGTTTAGTGATAAGTTACCACGATGCAATAGGATTTGTTTCTGATATGATTGTTTGTAGAGTTGATGCACGGGTGCATTCACACACTTCTATGTTTATCGCCATTCCACATGACTGTACACGCTGACGGCGTCCGCTTGGCTCGATACTGGAATGCTCGCTGAAGACAGATATGTGCGTGCGACTGTCAGCGCAGACCGCTCAGCCGCGCACGGCTCGGAGCCGACGCTAGTCAACACTATAGAACACTTGTATGGAGCCCATATACATTGGCCTGTCAGCGCCGACGGTCAGCGTAATAATAAAACCAGCCCATATTGTTTACCTGTATGACCTAAATGGTCATAGACCGAAAGAATAATATCATTTATACGAACTAAAACACACACTAAATAATAAAAATTAAAGTTTTCACTAACCAAACAGAATAAACATTCATAACTATCTTTTGCTCTAAAGGACATCCAATAATTGATAACATTATAAATAATGAAACCATAATAGTACAATAGCTCGATGGCAAAGTGGAAAATCGGCGCAACCTGCGAATATTGTTCCTAAGGAACTTTCGCAAGGGTCCAGTCAAATCTTAAATGGACCAGCATGAAGGAATATAGCCCACATTCCTTAACCATGCATAAAGAAGGCCTTAGCCCCTGCAATGAGGACGTAAAGGGGCCAAAATCATTTCGCCTAGTATAAAAGTCAGTAAACGTCTGAGTAAACGCCCCGCCGTTACTATTACAATGTGTCTTGAAACTACCAAACGCCAACAGAATAGTCTCAGATAGATTAATACATCCATTAATGCAATTCGATACTAAACAAAACTTTCGTAGATATAACTTGTACTCAATCACAAGAGAACATTCTGACACTCCCAGTAGTACCGGGCCGTTATCGTGAAACTTGCACCCGACAACATTGTGCAACAACAAACGAACGACAAATGTCTACATTATGTATTGATCTGCCACCAACATCAGTTCACTGCACGTCTGTTTCCATTTTCCAAAAGATAAGCCGTAATATTTTATCGTCTAATGTCCAACAAAGACTCCCGTTTGCTACCTACGATCACGTAACTCTTATACAAGCTCGACAATTTTGGTACAATTATAATTCAACCTAGATTCTTCCACGATTTTTTCCGTAAGAGCAATCTGGAGGTCATCGCATCAGGTGGAGGTGATATCAGTTTTATTGCAGCCGTCATTTCAAATGGTCGGTAAAAGAATAATTTTCGTTTGATTTAATCAGTTCACTTCCTGAATCTTCATGTGTATTTTTAAAGTACTGACTAATGATGGAAATGAATCATTGTTGACTGTAGTCATATTGCTATACTTCCGTAATCATAATTTAAAAATTAACTGTTTAAAATGTTTAATTTTTAACTGTGAAAAAATTGCAAATGATTGGATACTGATTTTATTGGTGCAAAAACCAGGTGTGATTCTTTTAAGAAAATATATCACCTATATTTAATAGGTATGCTTACTCAGCTTATAATCAATACTTGCTGATTTGTCGCGACTTCGTAAATTGTAGACTATGTCTATCCCGTATGAAGTAGCTACTCGTAGGTGATAGAATTTTCAAAATCGGTTCAGAAGTTTCTTAGGCTATTCCTTGCAAAGAAACAAACAATCAAATCTGTCCTCTTTATAATATTAGTACAGATTTACACTGATTTTTTTCAAAGACTGCGAATAAATAAATGCTGGTGATAACAAATAACGTAGTGGCTCCATTTCTAAGTAACTCACGTGAGATGGTAATCAAAAATATTCTAACAACTTACCACAAACACTTGCATTTGACTTGAATAAAGAAAATATTAACTTCGACCCAGGACCAAAAATATGTTTTTATGTTGACCCAGAGCTAAAGCCTCATAAATCAACCGGTAATCGGAACACGAACGCTAAAATTGACACTGGTTTCTGAACATTAATTTTGAAAAACAAATTACATTATTACATTCTATTGAAAAACTACAATAAAATTCAATTTGTAGCTCCTAAACACAATTGATTTCTTATTCATCTGATTTTTTACAATAGAAGTAGTTGTCATCGATATACCTAACACTTGAATGTTGTGCTAAAAATAAACCATGCTTATTTATGAGATGTCCAAAGTTTGTAATAATACCATTCATGTATTGACGACTACACCTTATAAGAATTTTCGATGTTTCACTATTCCATATAATATTACCATATGGAAAAAAAATTACAATTAGCCAAGAAAACGATGTCTCAGATGTTGTTTTCGTGTCAATTAAAAAAAACAATACATATGAGTTTTTATTAAGCATATTTATTAAAAATTGCCTCCTATGTATGTCAAATGAAAGTGGGAGAAATAGGTTGTTCTAATTATTAGAAAATTAGATTTAATGAATTAGAATCTTATAGGTACTTACATTAAACTTGACAACCTCCGTGTTATATTGACTCGCACGTCCGTTTCCAAGGTGTCATCCTAATCCAAGGTGCGATCCTAGTCCTAATAGAAATCCGTTTCGTACAAATATTAAATTTTAGAAACCGTTTATGGTTCTTATAACATTTCTTTCCTGTGATTTATATACAGATTGTAGTTATTGTTGTGTCCCTCCCATGTTTTTTTGAAATAAATTCGTTAATTTAACTAATACCTCTTTTTCATTAGTTAAAAATGCGCTATGAATTTTAAGACTCGGCTTGTTACACAATAACAAGTGAAATTAACATGTATCTATAAGGGAACTCTTCTGTTCTATTCTAGCGTCCTCAAGACATAAAAAGCCAAAAAAAAATCTATAGCTACTCCGTGCTTCGGAAAGCACGTTAAGCCATTTGTGCCGGCTGCATTTGCAGTCGTCAACGCCCTCTAATCCAAATTGAGCCAGCGTGGAGGGTCATGGCACGTCCTTCTTAACTATCCTTATGGAAAGCCTGAGCCCCTGCAGTGGGAATGTAAAAGAACTGATGATGATGACGAAATAACTAATTCGTATGAAAATTAGTAGAAAACGAATGTACGACGCGAGATTATAGACGCATCATCTCAGGCGGCATCCACCATCTCGATACAATCTCGCACGCGTGTCGTGATACGTGATCCCACCGACTTCACCATAATTAGACTCGTTCTCATGAAGCATCACCTATTATGAAAGTATCTCTTAACCCGCACATATTTCGGATAAGCCATCATGATAGCAATGAAAGTAAACCTTAGCTACTGCATCACAAACTAAAAACAATATAGATGTTTGTAGAAATAATAAAACTCATATCTAAAAAAAAATATCCTTTGCATATATCACAAGAGTTAGATTTTACTATTATACTAAACACAAACATTACTTTAGGTTTCTGTTAAAACATAGGTAAATTCAGCAAAATTAATGAAGCGTCATTAATTTAAATAATTTTCAAAACTCTGCCTTTTAATATGTACGAACTCAACTTTATCTTGCACTAATGCTCAGGAAAAACTTACAAATAAAAAAATATTATCAATATCACTAATACACACAGCTCCACATCAGGTTACCATAAAATGTACAAATTCTTGCAATGAATTTTCTACTCATCACAGTTCTATCTGTAAGATTAAAAGTATAAGAATGAATTTGACAGCTTTGGATAATCCTATGAGCTTATATGTATTAGAGAAACTTTAATAAAAAAAAAATATGTATAAATTATGCATTGAAAGAACAAATTGTCGAAAACTAAAAAAAGTAGTCAAACAATTATTTGCTACTATTATATTAAGTATAACATGTTATCCATTGTCAATAATCATGTCTATAATCGTATGATCTATCAGAATCAGGACAGTCCCTGTCGGTTCGATAATTTCTGTTCGATCTCGAATAGTTTTCTCGATTGCTTCTGGTTCTGCTTCTACTTCTTTCTCGACGTTTGTTTGATGAACGATAATTAGGATTTCTGACGTATCTCCCAGTTTCGTAACCATCTTCTTTATCCCCTAAGTATTCATCTCGCCACGATTTGGCATTCCTATTAATTTTGCTACTACTACTATTTTGGTCATTATTATGATCTGATGGTAATACGGCTGATATATTTGTTGACACCCCTAAATCCGGAGGTGGTGGTTTATTTCCCATTAAGTGCGCTATATAATTATCTCTCTCAATTTTGTAGCCACGAGCGATTTCGAACTCTGTAATAAATATAAGATTGATTTTTGTAATTAATCGTACAACAAATGTGGTGAAATCTTGCGTTTTTTAAATACAGTGTCTCATTTGTGTCTACGATGATGAAAATTTAATTAGTATTCATTTTAAATTTTCACTTCAAGTAAGGATTTGTTTTCACCTGTACAGTCGAATGGGTCACACTCGCGGTAATGGGTTCAAAATAATACTTGTAAATAAACCTAAATAGTTTTACTGTTGCATTTTTTTATTTTATTTCTATATGTCATCAGGCAAAACAAGTTAAGCAGTGCTAGCTGAAATGCTGGCCTTTAAGATAATATTTACATTAACTAGAAATATATTGTTAAAAAAACAATATCCATTCGATCTATTGGCAGTTAAAAGTAACTGAAATGTAAAGACCGACGTAGTACTCACTGTGAATAGCATCTTTTGCGTTGACACCCAATTTATCGCGCATGTATCTGCACACCATGTAGCCAGTACGGTTCAAACCGTGCGTGCAATGTACACCGATCAGGCTTTCTGGAATAAAAGAAACACAATTAAATCCTTTATCGTGGAAAACATGACAAGTCAGATGCGTGTCAGCCATTCCATGTTTCAGCTATAGCTGCAGGAGATCTAATAGCCGGACACCATACAATTTGGCCAGATATTTGGGTAGAAAAGCCGAACATCCTATATTAACTACCAGATGAAAAAAAAATCTTTAAAATGGTTCACATGTTCATGAAAATTCTATTGAATTAACATCCTACATTGGTTGGTATTAACATCCTACACAAGATCTCCACCCGATTTAATACAATTCTCATGAATACATGAACCGCCTATAATATATTTTACTTTAAAATTTTTGACGTTTTTGAAGTAGGTTAATTTAAAAAATGTATATATAAAAATATGTTTTTTATTTAACACTTGCTGTATGGAAGCCCCCCTATTAAAATATGTATTCTATTTTTAGTAGTTGTTATATGAATAGAAATACGTAATCTGTTAAAACTTTAACTGTGAAGCTGTCGCGTTTCATGAGATACAGCCTGGTGACCGACAGACGGACAGCGGAGTCTTAGTAATAGAGCCCCGTTTTTTCCCAAAAACAAACCCGTCGAAAGAATAACCTTCTTGTTTTCGATATTAAATTCGTTTAATAATGTCAGTCGACATAAAGTTTCCGTAATAAAGGTACAGCAGTAATAGACCGATTTACAACCTCCCAATCTCAAACACGCTTTCCGCAAACAGAAGTATTAAAATATACCATAAATTTTTATATTTTATTTCATATCAACCGAAATTTATTGCATATATAAAGCAGACTAAGTAGGTAGATGGATTAAAACATAGATTTAAAATGGCTCTACATTATACGCTTACGAGTATGTAATGCGCGTTACATACTCGTAAGCTATAATTTGCGCGGGCGAAGACGCGGGAAAACAGCGGGTCAGTATTTCCGAAGATTACCCCTTACAAAAAAAACAAACAAGGACAGAAACTTTACCTCCTTATAGTATTAGTTGTAGGATATAACAATTTATAAATATCCAAAAAAGTTGGAGGGGCGAGCATTTCATACGGTATTCTGTATATTACATTTCAAGTTAGATTTTCACATTAAAAAAGAAGTAAATACAAACAACACAAGAAAAAATATATACTGTCATAAAACATAACAATTGTCCTATAAAGTTTTCACTGTCGTTTGTGTATATATTTTAGATATTTTAATTTAATAAAATATCTTTACTACCAGTTCAACAGTTCAACTGGAATTAGGTGAACTTGTAATTAATTTTCAGTTTATTCTGAAAGAAAGTATTTTAATTAAAATCCTATGTGATTTTTGTTTAAAGCCCAAATACAAATAATTGAGATATCAAATACAATCAAATACATTTTAAGGCTTATTACAAAATCATTCTCTCTTCTTCTGTCTACTCTGTCAACCATTGTTTGTCTCTGTTTTTGTAACATCCTACTAGCGTTACTTCAACCGTTTTAAAACAGAAAATATTTAATAAAATCTTATATCACACTGACATCGGTTCCAGAAAAGGAAAACTATACATTGTCTTCGAAATCGCCCCGCAAACGCCCAAGTTGCAAGGGTCGTTGACTCGCGCCCCTTCTACCCCCGCGGGGATGTATAAAGGTGGGGGTAAAGAACGGGAGGAAGTCGCGGCCGCGGTTTGACACTTCCTCAGGAAGACCTTTGATGTAGCACGAAAGAGCTTACCAAATCATATCCCTACATCGATATCAGACGAGATAGTTTAAAAATTATACGTACCTGTGTTAAATCATTATTTAATTTTTCAACCATTTTTGCATTTACGTATTACATTTAAAATGTTCTTTTTATGATAAACGTCGTCCCGTCAAAACAAACTTTGCATTAATGCTCTATATCAACTTAAAACATGAGAGCTATTTTTCAAAAACAACAATCACTAATTCAACATTTTTACGTCGCCGTGAAAAATCACATTTAGATTAAGACAAATGCTTGAACCGAATCAAGTCAAGGATGTACACAAACACAAAGAGAAAATAGCACAAACATTTGTCTCCAGAAGTGAAGAAGTGGTGTATTAACATATGCGAAACATCGATGGGTTATAAACGAAAGCTTTGTTTGAGACAGTACAATAATATTAAATATGAAAAATCGCTCGCTCCTTTAACATTTCTTTAGCACGAGACAAAAAAGGAGGACACATAAAATTGTCGATGTAAAGTTCCCACGGCGGGGCCAAGAGGTAATGCATAACTAACGTGACCAGACGTCTAAGTTTTGAACGGGATCGTCCATTTTTCGGTTGTCCGTCCCGGAGTGCTCGAAGATAATCTCGGGCCGCAAAAATATCCTGTTTATCGAAATAACGTGAAGTTTTATCGCCCGCCCGAAACGAAGAAGATTGATAGGCGAAAAGATAGTTTTTAGAACAAGTCTTCGTGCGAAATTATTTTTTAATTATAAGGAAAATTACAAAACAATACCAATTTATCCGGTAAATATCGAAATTCAAATATGGAAATAGAAATTTCATAATTGTTACACTTCTCCGTTTTCGTGAAAAAAGAAATGTCCCGTTTTGAACGAGCAGAAAATGGGCACGTATGCATAACGCATCACACATGTAAATCCATGCCAACTCGGCTCGGGACAAACAAGAAAAAAAAAATACATTTCCATTTGCAACAATCCATCAAGAGCCTTTCGCCGGCAACTTAATTAACGAGTGAACATGTTTTCAATTACAGAAACAAACAGACTGCAATGATAATTGCAGGAGAATTACCCGCTCACAGATAATGCAAATAGGCACTTAGTTTTAACTGAGACTTCTTTTAAATATGTTTATTAAGCGTCTCGGTTGAGTTATCCTCCGTTGTTTGTCACGGTACGAAGTTTTAAATGGAAATTATTTAGTTCCAAGCCATTTATTTTTCAGTGGATGTTTACAAATGCGTATATTTTTCAAGTTCGTTCCCTGGTTCGAAAAAACATTTGGTTTTCCTTGATCAGAATATTTACATCTTTGCAAATAGTTTTCTTTTTTTTATTAAAATTAATATTTGAAAAACTATATCGTTACCTGTAACTATAACGTTTACCTAATAAAAATCTTTAAACACAATAGAGTAACTCGGTGGCGTAGTGGATAAGCGCCGCGGCCCGCGATCGTAGTCGTTAAGCAACTTTCGCAAGGGTCGGTCACGGGATGGGTGACCAAAAAATTATTATCTCGAGCTACTCCGTGCTTCGGAAGGCACGTTAAGCCGTTGGTCCCGGCTGCATTTGCAGTCGTCAATACCCTCCAATCCGCATTGGGCCAGCGTGGAGGGTCATGGCCCATCCTCCTTAACCATCCATAAGGAAGGCCTGATCCCCTGAGCCCCTGCAGTGGGGACGTAAAAAGGGCTGGTGATTGATTGTGATTGACAATGGAAATAAGACTTTTTTTTTCTTTCCGTCAGGTAGATTTTTGAATATTATATACCTAAATTACGGCGACACATTAAGTTACAATTATACACTATTGAACATAAAATAGCCACATGTGAAAACATGATTTAATACAAACAAAGTACTGCTAGCTGTAACCCAACGAACATGTTTATAAAAACAGACAAAAGGTATCAAAAGAAGGCGTTACGTAATTATAATAACGCTATGTTATGAATATAACATTATTGCGTAACGGAAGGTTCAACCATAGACCAATAAAGAAAATTATAGACGCCATCAAATAAGCAAATAAAGCATATTTCAATATTGGATGTGTATAGGTGCTAAAATATTACCAAATGTAAAAAAAATGTTTATACGTGAGCAAACGAGTTTGTTTTCATAAATGAATCGTGATTTTGCAGTAATAAGATATTAAATGTTAGCGTAGGTCATCCTATTAATATTATAAATGTGATAGTTTATTTGTTTGGATGTTTAGATGTTTGAATGTTTGTCGGTCAATCACGCCGAAACTACTGAACGGATTTTGATGAAATTTGGTATACAGATAGGGTATTAGCTGACTTAGATAATAGGATACTTTTTATCCCACTAAACATTTACCTAGGGTCCAAGCGGGCGAAGCCGCTGGCGAAAGCTAGTATTTTTTATAAATCCGAATATAGGATGTTTAAAATAAACACAAATATAAAGAACATTCACAATCATAATAACCGTTATTGACAACAAAATTAGTGAACCGTACTATATAATCCTCTGTCTCCTTATTAACTTTCTATGGCTGCCCGAAAATTGCATCCCGTCAGTTGCACTCGTACGACAATCGGTATCGAGTCGCAGATCGATAATCGATGCCATTGTAAACTGGTCGAGTCGGAGTCGATACGCCGCCACCTACACACGACCCTTATACATGGTAATCGGCTTAATAGGATTTTACCACACGCATTCAAGTGATGTCTCAGTTACAAAGCACCGTTCGGGAGATTCTGTGCGATACCGGAAAATTTATAAAAATTGCAGAGTATAATATAATAATTATAATATATATATGAATAATATATAATGATACGGCGAAGGAGTGTAAAAACATGGCCACACGGGACATGACCGAGAAAATATTACTATTATCTAAAAACATTAGACGATCTCTTGTTACACGCGCTGAGTTTTTCTTTAGTTTTATGAGCATAAAGGCAAACACGAAATCCTTGTGGGAGTTTACGAGACAAAGAAAAAGATAGAAAAGACAAAAGAGAGAGAGTTAACTCATTACCAAAAAAAATTAAAATAACTCGTTAACACACGGGGGCTATACACTAACTTTAATCATCACAAAAGAAACAAAAAATTGAATTAAAAGAGAAAATAAATAAAGTTACATGTGATTTTCTAATATATTTCTTTCCATCCAAATAAAATTAGTAATTACGTTTGGTCTAATTGTTTCTTTTACGACAAGTTTTTCCGTAACAAAAATCAATGTTTCTCACCCGACGCGTAGAAGTGTCACAAATAAGGAACCAGTCACCCTTACTGCATAAATTAAAATTAATTGTATTAGTAATTTTGTGACTATAGTATTGCATACTATGCTATTGCCAAAGTCGCAAAAAATGGAAGTACGCGTGGAAATAAAAGAAATTAGTAAGTAATCAGAACTAACGTGCGTGCGAGCGTGAGCACATTACTTCTTTGACAAATTACTAATAGAACCAACAAATTTTCGTATTTATTCTATGTTTATACTGATAAATTGATGAATTACTATACATATTTCTCCAAATATTAAGCTTAATATGTAATGTCATACACGTAATATATAAATAACATTTAAAGTAAACACTTGTAGGTACTGACTAAATAAATAAATCTGTGTTGGAATGTAGCAACAAATTATTCAAAGCACTTACGATGTACTTAGTACATATTGCCACATACACGGCGATAGGGTTGTCTAACAAAAGTTAAATTACAAAACCAAAAGATTGGTTTGTATCCTTTGGTTGGTTAAATGCCTTTGCATTTTATTGAGAAAATTAAAATACATTTTCTAGTTGTCTACTTACATTTTAATTCGTTACAATGTGATATGGTGTTATATGAAATATGTATTTGATGTTATCGCATAGCTCTATTTTATATGAAACTAGCTGACCCGACAGACTTCGTCCTGTCAAAAAGATTTGTAATGTGGCAGTTTTTTTGCCTACGTATTTAAAAAAATTCTCCTGAACAGAACCGTCACCCTGGTGATAGGGCGTTGTGAATAAAAAATAATTAAATAAAACATATATAATTAATCATATCAAATATAAATTATTTTTTCACTAATCACGAACTAAACAAACACTAACTAAGTAAACACTCTGCACAAAACACGATATACGAATTTGTTTCGTGTATCAGTTGACAAAAGCAAACTCAGTAGATTAGGTCACAGACAACTTTTTTTTTTTAAATTTGATATGACTTGAAGTCAAATCCTTTTAAGCCGTACGAATTGTTTTATTGATTTAAAATTTGGATATTAAAAATAATAAAACACTGTTGGTAACGCGATTTTTGTTTGACTGATGTAATGACGTGGAAACTGATGCATTTTATCTCGCGTGCCGAAACTAATACAAAAGAAACGCGAGTTTCGGAACGCGACATTAAACTCCTCCAACTATGTATTCTGTGCTCCAACGCACACACGCACATTGTTTTGATAGATATGATCTTTGACGTTAGGAACACACCTACATTGCTTAGACAACAGTGAGTGCTTGTAATTTAATATGAACTTTATACCATAGCAATAAAGCTCAAATTGACTACGTTTTAGTTACAAATCATTTGTATGGGAAAAAGAAAAGGGCTATTTTTAGGGTTTTTCCAGCAATAATTCTAATTTTTCTCGCCGTAAAAACCATCCTTGAACTTCAACGAACATTTTAAAAAAAGATTTGGCCAAATTGGTCGAGGCGTTGTTGAGTTATGCGCTTACCAACACATTTTGCGATTCATTTTTATATATATAAGATTAAGCAAAACAAATTCTGTATATTTTTTTTATGTTTATAAAGACATTTCAGGTCATTAGCAGTCTCGGGGTCATTAGGTAAGTGGCAAATACGAAACTTCTAAAAAAGAACACTAAATCTAAAAATTATCCGCACTTAGACCCGTTAAAAAGTTTATTAATAAGAAGTGTGCTCGGAAATTTATATAATTACAATAACATTTAATTTAACAGCAAATTTAATTCAATACTCAAGGCAGCCCTGGGTGCAAGGCGCCGCGCGTGGGCAGACCTCTGATCATCAGATGACTGATTATCTTATTTGAGAATATTAATTATTACATTGTGAGTACATCTTGATCGGTATTTTTATGATTTCCTTAATAACAACAAATTATTACCCGATTCAGCCTGAGCACTTACTACTTTCTCCATTCCTAATGACGGCAAAAGAATTAATTAGTTTTCCAATTACATATGTGTGCTAGTCTTTTGTTGTGTATGTGTTTGATTTAAAAACTATGTAGAAGCTAAACAAAACTAGAGAATACTAAATATATCTCTACAGTATAAGTCAAAGATAATGTAGAAAATTTGCCGATAAAAATAACTTTAGCGACTAACTAAAGTCGTATTTCAGTAACTCTAACAACGTTATCACTTCGTAAACGGACTCCGGTTTCACCACATTTGTCAATTTGATTCGTACTTACTGTACGAAAGTGCAACTTTGTAACCACCGATACCTATCTCTAGTCGGGAAATGTTTGCTACCACGATATATGAATGTTACTTTCCAACTCTAGACTTTTGGGACGACTCATTTCTTTGTGACGTCAGCTAGATATATTTCATTGAATCCTCTTTATATACGAGTTCGATAACATAAGGACAAAGATTCCTATCGTAACTATGTAGTGCTATGTCGATTCTTGTTTGTCAGACTAAGATTGCCCTGTGGTTGATATATATATATAACGTAATTTTCAATTTGCCTGAAAACACGCAGTTGTAAAAGATTTTGAGTTCGTTATCATCACCAGTCTACTAATGTTCCCGCGCTCTATGGATAGAATCACACAGAACGATCGTATCATAACCAACTACGCGGGCCTACCCAATTCGGATTGGAGGGTCCTAACGACAGCAGATGCGGAAGGTCGAGATCGACACCTTAACGTGTCTTATAAGTCAAGGTGGAGTTCGACGAGATATTTTTTTTTATTAGTCACCCATCCGATAGCCGATCTTTGCGAAAGTAATTTAATATCCGCAATCTCAGACCGTATACGCCGACCCTTGCTCCATCAAGGTAATAGAACATGGCTTTTCAGAAAAATCCTAAAACTAATATTAACAAATGCAAAAAAAGGAAAACAATTTACTTATTACCACGACATAAGAGAATGCACGAAACTAAATCTTATACCAAAATTTTGTGTCACCATGATTCAGCTTAGCTCCTTCGACGCCATTTACTAAGACATCATATTATCAACATTTGCTTTCCCTAGTCCCTCTAGTGCATTTCACCTTTAATGAAATTGTTTAAACTATATAATAATACTGTCGTTTTCGTTTCTTCCATTAGAGCTGGTTGTTTCTTGCTCGTTATTCTTATCAGCCAAAAGACGTCTTAAACGAGCGGTAGGGAAAAAATGTTAGACGATTCAAAGGTACTCTAAATAAGATAATTTGAATAAACGTATCTTTCTTTTGAACCTGGTTTTAAAGTAAATTGTTATAAGACGAAAAAACTTTACAGATGCAATGAATAAGACCACCCCTATCGCATGGACGGTAGCAAACGCGAGCCGCAAGCATCTCACGCAGACGCGTAAATCGAGACAAGATTGTGATTCCGCGATATAAAGTGAAATATGAATATCGGCGCATTACCGCCGCGTATCAGACGATTTGTAACGCGAACCTCCCTATCTGATACAGAAAAAAAACGTCATGCTTGGTCCGAAGCCATACGTAAAGCTAAATAGTATAAATAATCTTTAGAAATTATATTTTTCGTTGAAACATGAACACAAACACACAAAACCTCGGGCACACAATGAATGTAATTAATTAGACAAGGAACAATCGGCATTTCAAATATTGTTGACTGTAATAGATACATCTCACACAATCTACTCCACGACACCGATAACCGGCCATTACTGACGAAAACGCCGACAGATACTAACACGCTCACAATTAATTGAAACTACCCACGTAATCTAATAAAAGCTAGTTCTGACGATCAAGACAAACAAGGGCGACCATTCGTAATTAGAACTTAATGAACATTCTGAATATTGAGTTCGGCACCGTGAGAAGGCGTCGATAACCACGATTTGTGTCACTGTAATTAAATGTGTGGCTGCCGATTATCTCGAACGCGCTCACCGAACTTACTGCTTTGACTGCGATGAGTTATTGATGAAACAGTGTAAGTAGACCCCTTCCTGCCGCCCCGTGCCTATACTAATGCCACAATAAAGAGAGGGACCTTGAAGGGTTGGAGAGGTCTATATTTAGCGATCCCGCGACACATTCCTCGTTAAAATCGAAGCGGTCTTTAATTGAAATCGTATGTACAGTTCGACATGCGAGATAAGGACGCACTTGTTGGATAAGTATTGACGTAAGCGTAATGACGCTGCAAATTTTAAGTGCATTTTCAATAAAAGCATTTATGTCTCCGTTAATTAAATAAGACTTATTGTATAAAATATTTTTCTTATTAAAATGGTCTTGATATAATAATCATTGACGTTAAAAGATTTCTTAAGTATTTTTCCTTCATCTAATACCAGGTATGTATGGGTTTTACAAACCTGGTATTATGTAAATAATTGCATTTATCATGACGATGATCATATACCACCGACATATCTTTTGATACACAATAAAAGGATTGCATAATGCTATGACACACAAAAGTTGGGCATTTTATAGCCGCATTCACGACACACATAGCCATATTTATTTAAGAGGACGCTCACAATAGAATAACGATTAGTGACAATAAAGACCACAGTTCATCGAAACTCTTTATGGTGGTCTCGTAAAGTAATACAATTAGGCAACGTGCATTAACACCTCTCAGAGTCATCACCCACGCAGTAGTGATTCTTAAACTACCGACGAATCGTGAATTTAACCCACATATGCAGTATATAGAGACATGTACGCCTATAGATAGTGTACACACGAGACGACAACACACCCAATTTGTAGAAACTACATAAATATTTGTAGGTTACGAGCGATCTTACCTGTGGTCGATGTGCCGAGCCGAGCTCTCTTTACTCGAATGGCCACTAAAGATGAGAAAACCGCAACATCAATGCGAGTCCGCATACAAGAGCCGTCATTAACCACGGCCCAAAAGTAATCAACAGCGTTAACACGTTGTACAAACGAAATTTTTACTCACCGCAATCTTTTCCCAAGAACTCGTCGACTGTGTCCATAAATCTGAAAGTAAACAAAGCGGATTAATATGATCAAGAGAGCGCACAATGTATATGAATTATATTAAAAGGATCATGAACAAAACACATTAAGTCCAAATAAACTTGAATTAAAAATCCTATATTTAAGAGACACTACACTAAAAAATAAAGTTTAAAAATAAAGTACGAACTATCCACCCTTGCTTGTAATTTACCTACTATTGGTATGTTAATTTTGTTTTTTTGCGCAATAAAGAGTATATACTCGTACATATATTATAAGATATCATATTTATCATTCATATGAAACAAAAAAATTAAATCAAATCGTTAAACTTTTTTAAAAATAATATTTGGAAAGCTTTATTTCACATATTATGTAATCATCTGCTATCGACAAATCTCGTAACTGCATCAATGTATATCAAACTTATGAACGCTTACACTGCACCGTACTTCATACGAAAGAACTGTAACTTTAAATTATTTAAAAGAATATAAATTGCCTCATTGAAAAGTAATAACCCGATATTTAACACGATGTCTACGCACATTAAAGCAAAATTAACAATAAAATTAGTGGAGGTGTAATCTTACTGAATTCCATCGGTCTAGACGACGCTCCTAAGGTACCATTATAAAAACGGGCACATTGTAAAATGATAGCAACAGTCATTCTAACAAATATATAAAAATTAATTTAATAAAAATACGAAATCTACGTTGGCTGTCACTAGAATGAAATGAAATATTATCATTTATCGATCGCAGCGTGTTGCCATACTTTAATCGATTTTTTTACACCTAAAACCGCACGACCTGTGGTTTGGATGGGCGTTCTGGAATTACAAGGCGTTTCTGCCGACCGAACACTGCATTTTTCTGCCAACACGTGAAATATGTTTGTTTTACTAATAAACGATGCCTTTCGGCACGTGAAAAATGCTGCCGGGTTCCTCGACATTGCATTATTGGGATGTTCACTCAAATAACTCGCTAGGGTGGTCTAATGATTCAAATTGTTTATACGTTCTTTTTGAAAGGGGATGCTATAAAATATTCTGTTGAGTCAAACGGTAGACTAATTGATGAGAGGGATTTGTTATACAAAATACTACTAATGCAATCTACAGCCTAATTATGGGTTCTCTTCAAAAAGGAAAAGTTAAGTTACACAAGTCTCTACAGAGTTATTTGTCAATATATATTTGATTGCGCTTCTTCTTATTTTTTAAATAAAAAGCATTGGTGCAAATGAGTCTCATTAATTTCATTCATAATTCAAGCAACAAAGGCTGATGAAAAACGATGGCTAAGTATTCAATTACCTATGATGCTTCCTTATACCGTGATACATAATTCAATGGTTTTTGTTATTGTATCTTTTTATGTATACAGAATAATATATACAGTGAGAGCCGCTGTATGAGAAACGGTAACCCCAATATGAGCGAGCTTTGGTTGCACTGCCTGTTTTGTCTAATTATCTAGTTATTAAGACACACCTTAAAGATTACTACATTATGCACTTTTCGTATGTATCTATGTAGTATATGCAAAATAAATAAATAATTCAATTTCACCATATTTTATACCGTAAAAGGCAATGTTGAAAACTATAATACCAGTGACTTTTATAAATTTGAACATCATAATTTTTAATGTTCCGTGAAAGAATGGCGTAACTATGAATAATCACAGCGGTGTGTTAACACGGTGTTTCACGGAATTTTGGCTCTTGGTCCAATAACGTTTTCTATACTAAACAATCAGCTACGTGTGGCGCCAGCGAACAAACAGTTTAATTAAGCATAAAGTCACGATTCCACAAAAACCATGAATGTTCTTTGCTGAGATAAATAATGGTTTGAAATAAAACTCCAGTGAATTTTTAGATGAACTTATTGTCTACTTAACAAAACACATGTATTTATATAAGAAACAATATCGTCTGCACATTTATTATATAAATTTATGTGTAACGTCAACCACCTACAAAGGCTCTGCATAAACAACGCCATAACAGAGTAATCTACACTGTTCTGGCGTATGCTGAGGCAGTACTGATTGGCTACCACTCTTTAATAAATATTTATTAATTTTCAAATTATATTTTGTACTTAAGTAGCCAATAAATGTATCTTCATTCTTTCTTCCTATGTGTTATATTCACCTCATTTTTTAAGAAAAATAATCAAGTTAATAATTTCTTATTTTGGAAAAAAACCATTTCATTATCATAGTAATTGGTTACATTTTACCGTTTTATAAATATATCAAATACATCACGCAATGCCAACAACAATTATCCTAACTTGGGTTTTTGGTTAACACCAGGATAAAGAATAAGCATAACTTAATAAAAATTTACCCATAAAAATTGGTTTTACAAGAAAATTACATGCTGTCACGAAAGCCTTTGAATATGTAATGACATCACATCGGTAACATCAGAAAACCGATACGATACGAACGCATAACGGTATATATGATGTTCTTTATAATACATTAACACGTGTATCGGCAATTAAATTAGTTTTGAAACATGCATTGCTTCCAATATATCATTCGCAAGGTCAGTGTGAACACCGAACGAATTTAAAGCAACGTTCGGGTGAAACTTTCTAAGTATTTCCTGCTCTACCACGGACGTCATTATTTTAAATCTGTCAAAACTGTGTATTTTATTGCCCGGGCATTAGATCGGTGTGCACCGTGAATTACATGCTTTCTTATTTAATATTAGAAGCGTCTTGCGTTTGTGTGATAATTTATATCTATACAGCGTTATCGGTCCGTCGAATCGGTCTCCGGTTATAATCCAGGTATTTTTCATAAGGCACGCACCGCGCGGTGCACTCTGTGAGGATGCCGTACTTGAAAATTTATGTCACTGCCGCTAGTAGAAACCGCCACTATTATTGACGCTCAGTAACCACCGGTACACACTGGAATGAATCGAATTATATATTGAACAACATCGCGTTCACAGCAACGATCACATGATAAGCAACTAAAGCACTTCATAGCACAAACATGTGCTATGAAGCGCAAATACAATAGCGGTAAAGTAAAAATAACCCCATTGTAAACATATTCAACAACAAATTTTCCTGCGAAATTTATTTGGCACACTCAAATTCTTTATAAAGGGTGATTACTGTTTCAAAAATGCCATTTAACCTACTGAAATTAAACGAATAGAATTTTTTAATCTTGAAAAAATAATCGGGATCAAAAACAATAAGCTTTATGACGTAAAAATAAAAGTAATATACAACATTGTGTTGAATGAATAACAGGGATATTCATTTTTTTTCCACGTCCATTGACATGCCGAGGGTGAAATGAAGACATGCTTTCACAACAGCGCGGCGGACCTCACATACGCGACGCCCGCGCATCCATCATGGTAGGATCGTACATGTCAACACGTTGGTCTCCAGAGCCAGACCCCAAAAACAGAGATAATGGCCGACATTTCGATACAACGCGAGATAAGGATGCAGGAGGTTCCCATGCGATCCAGGGCGTCCTTCCTATTAGAGAAAAAGCTAGGACAAAGGTCAAACGTGTACAAAATACACCACCATTGAAACATAATACATCCGCTTGACGAAACGATACAATGGAAAGGATAGTGTTAAATTTTACGATTCAGATAATTGTCGGGGAATTTATTGTTGGTTTAGATATATTGACTGTAATATTTAAAGCTTATGAAGTTTGATTGCGTAATAATCCGCAGGCAGTCGATTGACGATAGTTGTTAGTTTATGGTGTGCAAATTTATGGAAAGCTCGCTTTAGACCGAGAATGATTTGCTGTCGACGAATTGCTACCATAAGTCATTTATATGTAGGGTGAGAACCATTGCAATTCCACGTCTTACTACTGAATTTTAATAAAATTGATCACTTTTTGACCGATAGCTATCACAAACAAATATATATCTCCTATCTAAGGTGTAATATTATTATATGCCCGAACCTCGTGCGGTGGATTAGTTAGGTACGTAACTAATCGATTCCACGAAGTCCATATTTTTACGCTAGATTCCTTCTGCTTCTGTATTTTCAACAGCTCGCACTCTTTACCTAGAGTCTATTTTATGGGATAATTAATTTCCGTGACGTCACGGTTGATGAAACCACAAAATACAGCTAGTTCTTACATAATAACTCACAAGTAATCACACCTATTCAATTGATCATAAATAAACTACAAAAGTTGTTATAAACAGTAGAAAGTACAAACATAACGGCCTGATGAGATTGTCTGGTGTAGTACTGTTCGATATTTAATAACCCTCAGTCATACACTCAAAAATTAATGCATCGTTCAAATCTCAAGAGTTCTAATGTCAATATCACACGTGAATGATAGAATAAGTATACAACTGTACTGTAGTCGGTAGCAGATTACATAACAAAATTAAACTAATATCATACAGGAAAGATTTGTAATCAGTGCACAAAATTTGATGTTGTTCACGGTTTATCACGGTCACGTTTTTTCTCTATCCTTTGAATTCCTAGCATTGAAGAAAAAAAGAAAAACGATGCCTATAAACACATCACTTATGATAAACTTACCATAGAGGAGACTGAAAGCCTATTTGTACCTATAGTTTCTTCACTACTATTAAAATAAACATCACCATCTTTTATATTTATTTTAAAAATACTTGAAAAAACAACTAAGTACCATACCCGACATTGGACTTATCCAATCTGGTAGCTAAGATTTTTGTTTCTCTCAATTCTTCTATAGAAATAAACCGTGTTATTCCGTTTTTTTCATTGTTTGCTTCTATTTTATGCTAGTTTTGTGTAAATATAGTTTTATTATTTTTTAAATCAATACCAATCTTTTCATGTTCATTTACAATTTCTGCAAAAGTGACCATATATCTTTCTTTAGCAGCTGAGAACCGATGACAATAATTACAGCTAATGAAACGTTACAGCTATTACCATCAACTAGTAGTGACTAGCCCAGGGCAGTTCTTGTCACCACAAC